GGACTGTTAATTTGTATTAACTGTTGTGTATATATATTTATATATGGATGTCAGAATTACAATCAAATTATGAATTAAAATGCATTCTCAAATGAGAAATCAAATGTGTTTGATATTTAACTTTCATAAACAACTCAGTAAAATCCTGTAATAATTAAATGACAAATTAAATGCTCAAAATATAATTTAATTGGAGAAACCAGTTTCTGGTTCTCCTGACACACAAGCTCATGATGGAAGCTCATGATGGACTGATTACTTGCACTATAAAGACACCTCATTCACACAGACTCTTTACTGAGTCTTGTTTTTCCCCTGCATTTTCCCCTGTTTGTCCTGTCATGTTTTGATCCTTGTATTGTTATTGTCCTGTCCTGTTTTAATTCAGTGACTAGTATTTTTTTTTTTATAACATTTGTCTCTGGTTTAGTTTTTTTTTTCCTTCAATTAAACTTGTTTGTTTGTTCTGATAATGTATTTTTTTCTTAGAAGAACTAATTTCCAAAAGAGTTTCTTGTTCTTCAACTTCAGACATTTATACGGAACCCCAAGGAAGTTCGACTTAATTTTTTTTCTGCTCTATTCATTCTTTCCCTAAAAAACAATTCAAGACTTCACACTTAGCTGATGATTGATAATAAAGCTAGTTTGGCGTGCTGTCCCGGGAGAGAGCCCTGAGCTTATAAGAACTCCTGTGAAGATTAAGCTAGGGGGACTTCGTGGGAGTCTGAACTAAGGGAGTGAGGGCCTATGCGGAAGGAAGAAAAGGATAGTGGATGACTCAACACTAGAAGAAAGAAAGATAGCAGTAAACTTATGCTGAAGGAAGAAAATTAGCGGAGGAACTCAACGATGTGAAAGGAGGGGGAGAGGGGGGGAAGTGGGAGTAAAAGGTTGGGGGGGGTAGCAGAAGCGCTCGGCTCTGTAATAAAGAAAAGAAGGGGCACCTAAATGCCGGAAGGGAGATAGAAAGAGGGACGGAAGAACTCAACGTCAGAAAGAAGAAAAGTTAGGAGTTTTTTTTGTTTGTTTTTTTTCTTACTCTAGTGGCCGGGAGGGAAAGTGATTGACTCCTGCAGGAGTCGAAGCTCAGGGTAACTCCTGCGTGAGTTAGAGCTGCGGGGGCAATACTCTTGCTGTAGTCTGGGAAAATGAGGGGGTGGTGAAGACTCTAGCGAGAGGTGGCCGTGGCATGATTCCTGCGGGAATCGAAGCTCGTTTTAGTCACTCCTGCGGGAGTTAGAGCTGGGGAATGATGGCCTATGGAAAAGAGAGAGAGTAGCGGAGGAACTCAACGCCAGAAGAAAGATAGTATTGCGACTGAACTGGTCGCTAAAGAGAAAAGAAGCGGAGGAACTCACGCTGAAAAGATAAGCGGGGAGGGGGGGTAGGGAAAGATGGGAAATGAAAAAGGGGATCAGAAAAAGGGGGGATGGAGAGCGGAATTACTCAGCGCTGAAAATAGAAAAAGAATGGGCTATTAAATACTGGAAGGGAGAAAGAGGGGCTGAGGATCTTGAGGCCGGAAAAGGTAAAGGGGTGGGGGGGAACTAGTGGCTGGGATGGGCAGTGAGACCCCTGCGGGGGTCGAAGCTCGGGGCCATCCCTGCGGGGACCCGTGGGGGGGGGGGGCAGGGTGTAGCAAGAGATGGGAGGAAGGAGGGGGCGGTGAGGGCTCTTGCTAGCAAGTGGCTGCTAAGGGTTGGGCTGAGGATTGGCTCGGCAGGACCCCTGCGGGGGTAGAGGTTGAGAGTAACTCCAGAGAGTTGGAGCGGGGGAGGGCAGGAAATGAGGGGGAAGCGGAGTATAGCTCGTGCTTGAGAGAGGAGAATATGAAAGGTAGCTAAGAGGCTACTTAGAGGGAAAATAGGAGGAAATAGCAGAGTCGTGCTCATGCCCTTGAGCTCCAGTGGTTGGGTGTCAGCTGGAGAGGATCAGCTGGGCTTCCTTGAGATGGTAGTGGCTGAGGCGAATGTATGATTTGAAGGCTTCGGAAGACCATCGTCCGGGGATCTGAATCTGTCCTTGGGAGAACCCATGGTGGGCTGCTGTGGTGGCTGCCCGAATTCTGAATGAGTGGCTGGAGAATGGTTCTGGGGGGAATCCTGAGGCGGAGTACTTCTTTTAGGTGTTTTTGAAACCAAAAAACGTGTTACTGGACGGTTAGCCTCATCAGTAAAGAGGGGGGTGAGAGAGTTGGGCTCTTGGGTTCTCGTAAATGTAAAGGCTAAAAAGGGGTTGGAAAGCGCAATGAGTCAAAATGTAAATGTAGTACCCCCTCTGGATTTGGTCTGTTTTGCTTTGCTTGACAAAGAATGAAAGAGTTTCTTTATTCGTCAAAATCAGATCAGATACGGTGGGGTGGATGGTGGGGTTAAAGTTAGATGTTATGGTTAGTTCAGAACATCTTAGGAGGCCAAAATGCCAGGGTGTACATAGCGTTGAGGGTGCGGGCTGTGTGTTTGGAAAGGTATCCGTAGCGTAGTGTGATAAAGCGGGTGGCTTTGGGCAATATCATTTCTGGATAGTGTTGGACTGGTGTTGGATGGGGATCTGCCTCTGGAGCCAGTCGCCAAAACTTCTAGAAAAAGAAAAGAGACAGAGTCAGTTTTGAGCTGATACATGTTCAGCAACTATACAAAAGTTTAGTCCAAGTTTAGCGCCTTAATGGCATGAGAACGCCCCTTAAAGATGCATTGAACAGCCGATTCAGTGTACGAGGATGCTAGATGCGGCCCATTCATAGCCCCGCTAGATAGCCGCGGAGATGATGGGATATAGTTCAAAAGGTGATGATTGTTGGTTCTGAGGATTTCGAGAATTTGGGGGGACCATAGTGAAGTGAACCCATGCCCTTGGTAATATCCCCCGAAACCAACTAAAGGGGCTCAATTAAGAAATTAGATCAAATATTGTGGGGTGGATTGAGAGATTGAAATTTGAGGTTAGTTCAGAACATCTCAAAATCGAAAGGCTAGTGTGAACATGTCACACACATGCTGTGTGAGTGGAATGTATCTTTTATGAAGAGTGTGAATGTATTTGGAATGGGTGTGGAGTGTAATAGGTTGGATGGGGGTCAGCTTCTGGAGCCGGTAGTCATGATTTCTGAAATTGAAAAACAAACAGAATTAGAAATCAAATCTTTACAACATCATACATGTATGACAGACATGAAATAGTTAATGCTTGGCCCGATAGCTTCGTTGACACGATGTGTAAGGATGGTAGGGGTGGGCGTTCGTCCCCCCACGGCATGGCAGATGGATGGAGAGCTGAGGATATGGGGTGTGGCTTGTCTGGTAGTCCTGGAAAACTGTTACCTCTTGAAGACTGAGCAGGTGAAGTGATAGTGAAGTTTAAAGTTCTATTTATAACAGTCAAGTGGGAATTTTGTTTCTTTACCTTTTTTTTATTAATTTATTTATTTAATTAATTTATATTATTATTATTATTATTATTATTTATTTATTTATTTATTTTTATTTTTTATATATATATATCAATTGCCAACATCAAACTTTATAAGACTTAAAAGCGATGTCACCACTTAGTAAAACTGTAAATGGAATGTTAGTAATGGCTTTTCTTTAATCTATGAATAAGATTTTGTTGTAATCTTAACTTTACTTAATTCACAAGCGTGTCTGGCAAAATTAATTCATAAGGTCTTAGCAAGAGAGTCGAGAGAGAGGGCGGGACCATCTCTAGTTATTTAGAGCTCATTGGATGGTGACGCTTCTCCTTACAGCTATTGGCTTAGGAGTTTTAGTCAGGCAATGCAAAAGGTGCAAAAAGCCCGGCGGCCATTTTGTTGATCAAAATCAACATTGTATATGACAAGAGCTGCTGCTCTGCTGAACATATCCCAGCAAACAAGCTGTTAAATGATGGATCGCATATGTACTGCTAGGAGAAGGTGAGGGTTCAGTTTCATTGCAATTGACCTTATTCCAAAATGCGGAAGTGCGCCTGTTTTCGCGATTGTCTTAGTTTCAGTCGCCTATGGGAGAAATGACAAGGAATAATAAACAGCAAAAAACGGTCAAACTACTTGCTCTACAAACAAATGTTTGCATGACTATACTAATACTTACCGCAGGTATTATTTGATAATTCGGTTGTTTATTTCACTGATTTGGCAACCGTCAAACATCATCAGGGAAACGGTTTGAATTTCCGCTTAGTAAAAAAACATTAGTGTGCCATTTGGGACAACACTACAAACATATACTATCCTGTTGAGTGTGTAAGTGCATAAGTACATAGTGCATGAGTGTATAGTGTGCCATTTGGGACGCAGCTTATGAATTCGGACATACTACTCGGCTTGCATACTGATTTTGGCGTACCATATAGTATGGAAGTATGCGGTTTCGGACACAGCCCGGTGTTCATCCTTCCCTCTTCAGTTTTGGAGTTTTTTGTTTTCTTTTCTTTATATTAATGTATCATTTCACTTAATTTTTGATTAAATAAATTTAAGTTGATTTGATTTTCTGGTTTGGAACTTTATTTGGTTTTTGTTGCTACTTTCTGGAGCCAGGAGGTTGCAACATTAACTATAATACTCGAGTACAGTAGGCTGTGGTGTTTAAACAATGCTCTGTTGGCACTAAAGCGCCTAAAGTGTGTCAAGAAAACACAACCACAATTTATTTTTTCATTTTTGTTTGTGACCTTGATTCTCAGACTAGCCCCTATATGTCACCAATAACCTAGTTCAAAGTCACTTAAATGCATGAAGCTGCAGTCATTTAATTGGCTAATTAGATATTTACATAGCAAGCGTTTGACTAACTGTACCTGAAAGTGGCCAAAATGTTACTTGTGGTAAAGAAGCAGAACCATCTAGTGGTTAACAAAGGAACTAAAACAGAGTTCCTCATGCCTTCAACCCAGACCATGTCCCATAGAGACTGTTCTGTCACAGAATAGCTGCACAGCCAATTGGATGAGGTAAGTGATTAAATAAAGCTTGTTTGAATAATAGGTTGTACCATTTCTAACAAAACTCTACTGACATGCCGTCGAGTGGCATTTTCTGCTACCTGCACTTACTGTTTGTGATGTACAATGGAGGCATTGTTAAGAATCACACTCATCTGTGTTTGTGTGCAAGCTAAAGGTGAGTGAACCAAGCATAAAATCATTTTAGCATTGAAGACTTAGTTCATCCAAATTTAAAATGCTGTCATCATTTACTCTTCCTTACTCTTCTCTTTCAAGTGGCTTCAATCCTTTAAGAGATTATTTCTTCTGCTTGACACAAGAGAAGGTATCTTGAACAAAGCTGAAATCCTGTTACCATTGACTGCTGTAGTATTTGTTTTTACTAATAAGGAAGTCAGTGCTCACAGATTTTCAACTTTCCACAAAATGTCTTCTTTTGTGTTTAAGGGTTAGAACCACTTTAGTGTGAGTACATAGAGAGTAAAGTTTCATTTTGGAGTGAACTATCCATTTAAAGCTGCTTGCTTTTCAGTAACACATAACTAATGATACCGTAAATGATTTCACACTTGTTAAATGAGATTTCATAGATAATCAAGTTGATAAATAAGATTATACTCATGTATGCTTCATGTAAATATATTAAAAATGCTATTCCTTAACAAAAATAATAATACTCAGACCTGTAAACCTGTTTTTTTTTTTTTTTTAGATTATCATAAATATGGACTGATTGGGGCGTGTGGTGATGCAGATCAGGAAGATTTTATTGTCCAGTTTGATGATGAACAGTTGGCACACGTGGACTTCAAAGAGCAGAAAGATGTTATTACATTACCTGAATTTGCTGGTCAGGCTGTGCTTCCGCCAATATATGTGGATGCTAAAAGGGCAGAATTCAATTGCAAAGCCTACCTGGCTGTGCTTAGAGAGGTGTATGCCAGTTCACCTGAAGTACTTGGTAAGACAAAAATAGGGATAAAAATGAGTCACACTTTATGATAAGTTTGCAATATTTACTAACATGAGCTAGGAATAATACAGCAACAGATTCTTGTTTGTTAATATCAGTTAATGCACCGTGAGTTAACAAGAAGTAACAAAAAAAAAAAAAAAAAACGTTTATTAACTATCATTACAAAAGATGAATCAATACTGTTATAAATATTCTTCATCATTTGTTTGTGATAGTAAATACGATAACTTATACAATCTTATTATAAAGTCTTAACAAAAAAATGTTTTAGTAAAATGTTTAAAATGGTGGTTGATCTAATCTTTGCCAGAACCTCCCTGGAGCTCAATTTATCCTAAAAGTGATCCACAATTAAATCTCAAGAACACTCTGATCTGTCATGTGACTGGATTCTTCCCTCCGCCGGTCAGAGTCTTGTGGACCAAGAACAATGTGAATGTGACAGACGGATCAACCATCAGCAGATATTACCCTAACAAAGATGGCACAATGAATGTCTTTTCTCGACTGAGCTTCATTCCTGAGGAAGGCGACATTTATAGCTGTTCAGTGGAGCACAAAGCTCTTCAGCAACCTCAGACCAGAACATGGGGTGAGTGTTTATTCAACATTCACATATAATCACGAATAAAACACATGAATTTCCCAAATGTTTGTGTGTGTTGTGTGCAGATGTGGAGGTAAAGCAGCCCAGCATTGGTCCATCAGTGTTCTGTGGAGTTGGTCTTGCTCTCGGGCTACTGGGTTTTGCTACTGGGGTCTTTTTCACTGCAAAGGGAAACAACTGTAACTAATAATTATCCTGAAGCAGACAAAGTGGTGCACACATAAATTGTACATACTGTATAAACTCATGTGATGAACAGAAAACAATTCTTTATTCATTGTAAAGTGCAAGGGCAAAAGAGTTTAGAGGTTTCTCTGAGCAATCTACTGGAATCATTGGTCTAGTACCTTAGAAGTGACTAATATTAAAATTCTAGAAGTCTCACGTGACGGCATAGGGAAGTTTGTGACAAATGCAGAACATATTCTGCTGAATGCATACTGTAAATATAAATGTTGTAAAATGACACATATTTTTCAATCAGACAGTAAATAGATATTATTTTAATATGCAAATATTGCTTTAGTTTGATATTTGATGTATTGTCAGGTGTTTCAGAGAGACATCTTGTTTACCAGAATATACTTAATGCTGTAATTTAAAAAAATATATATTCAAAGAATGAGCAAGAACCTAACCAGTCAGTCTTCAAATCTATCTTGTTTCCTTAGCCTGATTCACAGTATAAGCATGCGATAATGCTTTCCAATTTGAGCGGCAGATTTCCATCTTTGTTGTCTCATTGTACAGAAGGACTTATATAGACAGATAAAGGCTACTGTGACCCTATGTAAGGGTCATTAACAGCCTTTTCTCACAGCAGCTGGAATAAATAAACTTATCAATATGAATATTGGATGGTATGACAATTAGAAATGATAGACTGTGTAGATAAGTTGCAATTCTACACGTAACGTTAAACACACTATGACATGCTGATGTTGTTAACAGTAACCAGAAGCATTGTATAGAAGAGAAGTATAGCTAATAACATAAAAATACCAATACCAATTTGCATGGTTTAATGTACTAAGCAATTAATCAGATATTAACACATAACAGAGCGATGTGAAATGACATATCTGCCAAAAATGTTGTTTGTTTAGATTACTTTTTGCGAAGAAAATCCTTTTGGGTTAAAAAGTATTACCAAGAAAATGTATTTGTTCTTTTAATGTGTACAGTATCCACACAGCTACACATACTCCTTGAAACATCAGACTTATTAGCATTGAAGAGCTTCACCGTAAAGACCTTGTCAAGATGATCTTTCTGCTTTTTACAGCAGGTTTCTAAAAGTAATGGAGACCAAAATACTTGTAGACTGCCGTTTTAAAGAATTGAAATTCACATTTTTGGCACATACATACAGTCCTTTTTGGGGGGTGAGAGGGTATCCTGTACACCTGTATTTGGAAAAACCCAAATAACCAAACAAATGATCAGTTCATTTACCTCCAAGTCTATTTGCCAGCAATAACCACAGAACTTTCGCTTCAGTGTTGTTCAGCTACGCAGCTGTGAAAAGTCTCACAGTGTGTTACTTGATCACATGTTGTTTTGTGGGTCAGTCATACTCATGAACTGGATTTTCCAGTTTGATGAATTGAGATGCCAATTTAGACTGGGATTAGTTTACTGCAACTGCACTGGGTCTCATTCCATCTAAGAAAACAACACTGAATTACAGTGTATGATCTTTCAATATCCCTAACATACAGTATAAACTTTTAAGTTAATACTTGAAGTTAAATAAACAAGACTTGTGCTGGGATGATTTCCTGCACATGAGTCAGTTTGTTTTGAGTTAAACTACATTGCTTTCACAAGCAGTGACTCGGTTTTACATAGACAATATTATCTTTACTCTGGGATTACCCCTCTTAATTAATACACTGACTTATCATTTAAATAGTAACTCAAAACTCTTACAAGGTCACAGACAGTAGACTTTAATTGGGCATATAGCCCACTCCAGTAAATGGAGACACAAAATTTCTGTTCAACGTTACTGAGAATAAAGTTGTTGCTGCAAGCACTAAATATGGTGAATTATTAAAATCAAAATCCTTAATAGTTACATGAGCAGGTGAAGAAATTAAATCTCAAATTACGAGCAAATTTTTCCCCCAGACTTATGTGACCAGTTCTGTAAAACTTTATAACCTGTCTCTTTGTTTCACTGTACGTTTCTTGTCTTTTTTTTTACTTTAATATTGCATTGTGGATATTAAATGGAATAAAATAAATAGCGATGCCATCCACACAATATAAGTGCTGATCTTTCATTTTCGCTACAGTTGAAATAAACACCCTCATCGACACATCAACACCATCACAAACCTCACAAAGCTTACACCAAGGCATGTGACTTCGGAGTCATAACTGAACAAAATAATAATAATAATAATAATAATACATATGTATCCACATCCGAATTTACTTCGGCTTAAGAATTGTACACATCAAAAGTCAACAGAGCAGAGATCAAGGTCCTATAATGCAGTTGCATAAATAAACTAAGTTTTGACTAAACAGCTTGACAAATTTTGTAATGGCTACTTTGTGTATTAAATATTATTGTTTAAGAAATAATACTGTAAATAATAATATTTAATAGTGTATTTACAACTAAATGGTCTGGAAATGGTCTGTGTGTTAGTGCTGAAAGATTTTGAATAAGCACCAAATGCGAAATAAACTAATGAAATGTTTTCAAAATTTAAAGTGATGTTTGATTATTTTTAGGATTAACCCTTTTAATGCACCATCATGGTTTCAAGAGGGTCGAAAATGTCATGATTTGGGGTCCAATTATGAAAAAAGGATTGACCTGAAAGATAAATGTCGTATCATATTCAGGTTATCACTCTCAAAATCTTATAATACTCTGCATAACAGAACCTGATTTTAGCAAACGGGGCCTCTCTTGGGCTCATTGAAGACCAGACAAGCTGCAACATTTCGTTCTGGGAGTAGATGAGCATGTCATCTGTGTAGACTATGGCCAACTTGTGAAGTTGCTCACAATACCTCAGCTTATTCATTACCATTAAAATTAAACGTTTCCAGCAGAATATGACACTTTAAAAAACTCCATCAGCACTGGTAACTATGAAAAACATGACTGAGCACTAATAGTGTACTCAACACTTTACACTGACATTTGAAGGATAACCTGACATTAAAGATTGAAGTAAGAACGCTGAAAAAAACATCAGATTTTAGCCTAGAAGAGTTTTTCTTTTCCTAAATTAAAGCAAAACTTCATAATATTATGTTAATGAATTAATTAGTGTGTGTTGCACTACTGGAGTGAAGGTTAACCAGTCCACCAGTTCATGCAGCTATAATCTTTATTATCTTTTATTAATAAACTATGTACAATATTTACACGTTGACTCCATGTCTCTTGGATGAAGGTCTCTCAGCGACGTGGTCTCTTCTAGTCACAGTGCGTCTCTGGTGGAGATAGGGAGTGGGTTCCAGGACCGAAGATGCCGCACCTGCTGAGGACGAGGAGGGCAAAGGCTCGGTCTGGCAGGAGAAGGACGGCCTCTTTCTCTTCTCAGCAGCATAGGCCTCACTGAACAGATCGAGCACAAACACACACAAGCAGACATCATGTGGAGATTTGGACATGTGGCTATGCCAAGTACAGTTTACTCACGCGTCTATGATGGGAATGACGAATCTGCCGCTGCCATCTATTATGACTCCATTTCGGTCTGGGTCGCCCACCTCCAACAGGAAGCTGCGGGAAATCCCTGTGCTCTTCCGGATGCACTTGTGCGGAGCAGAGCCGCTGCCCTGTGAATTGAGGAGTGACAGTCAAACTCTGAGCAAACAATCTGACTGATGAGGACAAGAGCTCAAGTTCACAGCAACCGTGAGCTTGGAAAACCCAGTTACCACATTAGTGGGGCAGTGCCTAATGTGGTGTCCCGGGATCCCAAGCAGCTTCATGGCCTCACTAGTGAATATCAGAACCATGAGAATCAGCTCAGACATTTCTCACAAAGCAAACCTGTCAGTATCTGAACGCTCACCTGCTGGAGTAGTAGCACAGGCTGGACTGGTACATCACCGCTTGCACATTTGAATCTTTTTCACCCTCAACCCTTCAAACAATCTCAAATCTCCCTAAGAAGCTGAGTTTGTGTAGGTGTGTGTGTTTGTTTTTATTACATGGTGGGGACCTCAGCATGTTAGCACACTCACAATGTGGGGACCAAAAACATGGTGGGGACCAAAGTCCCGGTCCCCACTATGTTTTGCCTTTAAAATACTCAGGAGGCGTTGCTGATATGCCTAGTGCAGTTTTTTTCATTGATCCCCACCTTGACCATTCACCTGACTTGAGTGTGTAAGTGTGTATCGCTGTGCTGCTCTATATAGCGCTCATGTAGTCGGATTGCGGTACTGCACCCTTAAGCACACCTGCCGCGATTTACACATTGCGTACAGCACGTGGGCAAATTGGAACATCAAATGAAGCAATCCGACTTTAATCAACTTATTTAAGATACATCAATAAATAAATCAAGGTTTGTAGGCAAGTTAGACTGTTTTTCCTTATCATAATATAATAAAATTGGTTATGTGATGAGTGTTTCGGTCGTATATTTATGTCGTGGTTCAAAATGTATCAGGCAAAGTTAATTTTATTTTAAACGAATTTTTGCATGTTTCAATCGATGTTGTTTCAACGTAGGTATTTCTAAAACACGTACAACATAAACTGTCGTTGGGTATGTGATTCAGCTTGTTTACATGAGTATATATTTTGCGTGCTAATGTGCTAACTCTCTGACACCGGGTGATGTGTGGATCAAAGGCCAGAGTGCATGAGCCGCGGCCTGACGGTCACCAAAACCCTGAGCCACAAAATGAATAGACGGAGGATTAAACCTTTACACGATGCCGAGAAACACATCACCAGCTCCACCGACAAGATCCATTCTTTGTAAACTAAATATATAGATGATTACAAAGGTAAGATTTCATGGTTCTTGTATTGTGCTTTAATAAATTAAGTGAAATAGTTAAATGTGCAATTGCTTTGCAACATCTAAGCCTTTTCATATATTATTTCATCAAATAATATTATTATACACTATTATATAGGTTGCTGTAATAATACTGAGGTTAAATTTTAAACATGTGTGACCTTCTGCTCCTAGAAATGTAGTTTATGTTAGTTCTATAAAGTTTTAAACAGTTACTAATTTAAGGTTAAAAATAATAACATCACCAAATTTAAAATATGCCTTAAAGTACATAAATATGCATTGTGTGTGTTTTATTTTTTATTTATCAGCAGTCAACTTTTGAAGTGGATCAAAAAAGTTCATTAAAATTGCCCTAAGAAAAGAACAGGTGCTTAATAGATTTAGAACATCTTTTATGAAAGGTTTTGATCCACTTCAAAATAATTACTTTGTATATAATTCACACACAGAGAGGATGCTAATGTGAGATTTTTGAACCCTAACTTATGTTTTATTTATATTTTTCGTAAAGTTTATTTGTCTACGTTTATGAGAGGAAGTTTTGTAGTTGAATACAGGGGAGATGATAGATTTGTGGAAGCAGAGTATAGACGGGATCGCAATCAAAATACCGTATTTATGTTTGACTTTACATGGCAAAATAAGAAGTGGTGATAAGTGTTTTCACCTTTCAAATTTACATATATATTTAGTTAATTGTGTTTGTATCATATTTTAGATTTTTGATATTGTTATGAGAGAGAATAATTAAAATTTGCTTTTTTTATTAATTTTTTTGCAGCATTGATGCCTGTCATGAGGATGAAATCCTCGGTCGGCTGGTAAATGATGACAATCTGCACCCCAACTGCACTGTCAAAAAGATTGTGGTTCAGGGAAAACCTCAGTTGTGCCTTTTTGCAGCCAGGGATATTTTCCCTGGAGAGGAAATTACACAAGACTACGGAGCATGTGATTGGCCTTGGAGAAAGGTTTGACAATTTGACCAACTAATACATACTGCTTGATACATTCAGCAATGCTTAGAGTTTTTCATGTTAAGATTAAGGGTACATAAAGAGTCATTCATATGTGTATGTAATGTTAATGTAATTAATTTTTCTAAAATAGCACTGTCACGTTTAGCGTGATCAAAACAGGAACAAAAACAAAAAGGTGCGGATCCAAGTGCAGATTTATTTACAGTGAAACAAACAAGGTGATCAAAAATACAAAGTAACAAACAAATGACAAACCAGAAACTAAAACAGAGACAAGGCTCAGAAACAATAACACTACAAACTAGACTTAGGCAAAAATACAAAAACACGGATCAGGAACAACAAACTATGAATACAAGACTTACTGTGGAACTAGGAACAAGCGAGACATAGAAGACCAGAAAGACAAACGACGCGATGACAAACAAAGGTGGAATGGTTGAATATATAGTCCAGATAATCAATGGTAACACAGAACAGATGAGATGACCGGTCAGTGTAAGTGTTCCGGTGTATGCGCATGGTATGTATGAGAATGAGAACGCTTCAGTGCCTACAAAGTCCTAGTGCACTACAGCGGCCTCAGGGTGGTCACTGACGGATGTGACATTACCCCCCTCTAAAGAGCGGCTTCCAGACGCTCCCAGGGAGGGGGGGGGGGGTGCAGAGCGGAGCAAGAACAAAGGGAGGGATGGTAGGGCCAAATCAGGGCAAGTCTGTGGTTCAGGCGCCCCGGCAGGAAGCCAGGGTGCGGCCGGGGAATCCGTCCCATACAGTGGGAAGGACCACCAGGGAGGGGTGGGAGGGATGACCAATGGATGATCCTGCAGGAAACACAAGGCAGGGGTTCTTAGGAGAGTAGACTGTAGGCAGCTGGACTGGAGCCGGCGAGACTGGAGGCCGCTGGACTGGAGCCGGCGGGACTGGAGGCCACTGGACTGGAGCCAGCTGGACTGGAGCCGGCGGACTGGAGGCAGCTGGACTGGAGGCAGCTGGACTGGAGTCGGCAGAGCAAGGAGCCCGAGTGAGGTCGGCAGAGCAAAGAGCCGGGCTGGAACCGGCAGGGCATGGAGCCGGACTGGGGCCAGCAGGGCAAAACGTCTGGGAGGTGCCGCCAGGGCAAGACGTCTGAATGGCGTTGGTAATGCCAGGAACCGGGCTGGGACCGGCAGGGCGAGGAGGGCTGTAGCCGACACTGGCGGGCGGTCTGGGGCTGGAGCTGACACTGGCGGGCGCTCTGGGACTGGAGCCGACACTGGCGGGCGCTCTGGGGCTGGAGCCAACACTGGCGGGCGCTCTGGAGCTGACACTGGCGGGTGCTCTAGGGCTGGAGCCGACACTGGCGGGCGCTCTGGGGCTGGAGCCTCAATAGAGGGATTACCTTGTTTTATTATCATTATTAAATTATCTGCTGGATCCATAGTGATCGCATCATTGTGGATGTGACAAGCACTTTCTAAATGATTTTTTTAAAGATAAAATTAGGTCGGTAACACGTGAAGCGGTGTTCATGAGACTGTCATGAAACCTTTATAATGATGAAATTTGTCATGAATGTGAATGAGATTTTTTGCATGCTTATGTCAACTGTCATCAAGTATCACTCTCAGTTTTGACATTTTAAACTCTAAAATGACATTTTTTCTAATAACAACTTCAAATACACAAATAAACTGTGGCTGTTATGAGCATAAAGTATTAAAAATGTTATACTAGGTTTCGTCAGTCAATTAATTGTTTCATGTGGATTTAGTTGCACTCTTGTTTGGACCAAGCAAATATTTTATAAACAAGGTTTTTCCTGTTTTTTTTTTTTTTTTTTTCTAATTCTCTGTTCACATGAAAATGCAAAAATGCGTTGTGATGCATGTTAAGGGCGAACTTTGAGCCAACAGCTAGTGATAATGACACATGTTGAGTTCACACTAAATGGGGAATTAATTATTTGTAGGAGTAAATTGTAAATTGACCGTTGAGTTCTACTTTCTAACTAATATTGTAAAATCTCTGTCTTTGAGCTAGTTCGCTTGGTTTGCTGAAGGCTACGGGTTGCGGGTCAAGACAACAGTCTCACTCCAGAGAATGATCTAAATCTTCATTTATTGATTGTTTTACAATGCACAATGCAATTATCTAACTAACCCCTATCATCATCAACTCTTTCTCCCCTCTGCCACTTTCCGAAACTCCGCAAGAAACTTTGGATCAGCCCATTTCACGCTGATCGGCGGGGGTGACTGGAAGAGTCCAAGTCGCGAGAGGAATAATTTCTACAGCCGCCCCCAAATTCACCGGGTGAATTTGCTATAGAGACATGAGATAACAGTCAAGTGTAAGTCTCAAACTTATCTGGGAGTGGGGGCAGGCAGATTAATTAAGCTACAGGCCGAATGTAGGTTTTGTCCTTCACTTGAATTTTGGCCGATCTAGTTCGTTCATCATTCCCAGGAAAGATTTGCACAACCCTTCCCACTGGCCACAGGGCACGTGGCAATTGTTGATCTACAATCATTACAGCGTCTTCAATTTGAAGTTTTGCCCCCTCAGTTTTCCATTTTTGTCTTATTTGAAGGTTTGATAGGTAGTAGCGAATGAAGTGTTTCCAAAAGTGGTCAGCTAGGAGTTGACTGTGTTTCCATTTCCTGCGGCTTAAGAGCTCAGTATCGTGATACATGACTTGTGGTAATGAAGCGTCTCGCCGCCCCATCAAAAGGATGTTTGAAGTTATTGGATCTGGATCACTGATGTCTGAAGAAGTATAGGCGATGGGCTTTGAGTTGAGAATCCCCTCTATCTCTATTAGCACTGTTCTTAATATTTCTTCACTGACTGTCTGGGTGCCGAGTGTGACTTGAAGGGCAGACTTTAAGGAGCGTATCTCTCTCTCTCCCAACATCCGCCAAAGTGGGGCGCGCTCGGTGGGTTGAAGAGAAATCGGATCTGTTGGCTGGCAAGGTGGGTTTGAAGTTCAGGATGAAGAGCTGTGAAGGACTCTTTAAGCTCTCTTTCACCTCCTTTAAAATTGGTCCCCTGATCTGCTAAGAGCTCGAAAGGTTTGCCACGTCTAGAAATGAACCTCCTAAGGGCCATTAGGAAGGAGTCAGTGTCAATACTA